GATGATTGGAATGTCCTGGAGATGTCAAGGTGCAATGTGCTGTTTTGAAAATGGTGGATGGTGATGGAGGTGTTACAGGACTGTAACAGGGTGTAAGATTGTCTATGGATGATATTTAGAAACTTCTGGAAGCAAAAGGCCAAGAAACGCACGAGTAGATTGAGAGATTGGATTCAAAAATAAAAAATGGAAAGTTTTTGTGCTTGTGTTGCAATTTATGGTTTGAGGGAGTTTTAGGGAGCTTGAGGGCTTCTCAAAAATGTGTGCTAGCTTACAAATGATGTCTTAATTTATAGAGAAAAGGTTTGGAAGCTTGGAGAAGTCAGATGTACAAGATCACATGTTTGTGGATTTTGACTTGTTTTTGAAGTTATCTTGACAAACACCTTTCCAAGGCATGGTACAAGGCTATCTTAGAGTGGTTGCAAACTTTAAACGTGTTCCTCTGACTTTATAGAGGAAGCTTGTGCATAAGGAACAAGTTAGAGGCTCAATACAAATTTATTTTGTGATTAAAGTCACTTTTCAAGAATGGCAATGTTGCTTTCTTCCAAAAATGGATGAATATTTTGGACAATAGCTCTAATACTTGGATTATGGCTCTAGAAATTGTGTAAATCATTAATTATGGAGTGAAAAACAAGTTTGAGGCCTGCAAAGCAAATATTATGCAACCTAGCATGGATTTGGTTCCTGTTCATCTTAAAAATCTTCCTTGTAAAACAAGAATGTAACCTTAACTTCATCTCTTTGATTCTCCTTGCTCAAATATGATCTCAAGGAGTTCTTAGACTATTTATAAAGCTTGAAACATGCTCTACAATCTGTCTTTAATTTTTTTTTGCAATATCCAATTGAAACTATGTGAAACTTGGCTAAGAAGTTAAGTCAAAATCCTGACTTAAGATGCTCAAAATTTCACTAAGTGTTTTAGTTTCATGGATATGTCATCATAAATTGATAACTTGAAATCAAAGAATTTTTAGAACTTGTCCTGTCCTAAAAAGTTTTAAATCTCATTGAGATCTGCAACTTTCATGTTGAAAGTTTTCCTTGAATCATCTTGCATCATGGTGAAAATTTGGCACAAAGTCATGAAAAAAGGTTAACTTTCCAACACTTAGAAATTTTTCTAAGTCTTAGAATTTTGACTTTTCAAAGATGATTTTGACTTTTTGATTTATTGATGAAAAATCTTCATATTTTGACATGTCTTGATGAAATATGATTTTTGAAACTTGATTTTGATCAAAAAGTCAAAGTTTGACTTTTCAGTGTATTAGTTGACTTTTCATCAGTTGACTGAATTTCAACTATCAATCAATTGATCTTTGGGGAATGTCTTAAGCCATGCCATTAGGTAAAAATGATGCATTTTAATCCTTTATATCATTTCTCAAACCAACAAGTCATGTGTTGGGTCAAAAGTCAAAAATTGAGCCTTCTCAATCAAAACACTAATTTTGACCATTTTGCCCTTTTGATGACCCGATCAAGTTTCTTGAGGAATTGTGATCCAAACTTGATCAACTGCAATATATGAGTTTAAAATGTTGATATGGATAAAAAATTATGAAGTTGGACTGTAAATTGACCACAATTGACTTTTTCCCCAATACAGTTGATTTGAGGTCAACTGATCAATTGACTGAACAAAAATGTGATCCAAAGCTTGAAACTTGACATGAGAAATCTTGGGAGTCCAAAATGATATATGAAAGTAATATGAAGCATTAAAAGTCCAATTATCCTTATACAAACTCAAACCCTAATTTTGAGTCATCACTGTTTGAGGAGGTGTCTTGAGTTGATCAAACCATGTGCAGTCTTGAATAAATGGAGATCTTGTGAGAGAATTCTTGAAAAATTGAGAGGGAAAATTTTGGGGTACAACAACCCCCTAACAAAACGGGATGGTTAAGCGAAAGAATAATCATTTTCTTGATGTAACGCGCACCTTACTTCTTCAAGGTTTTGTGTCATCCTAGTTTTGGATAGATGCTCTTTCCACAGCCATATTCTTGATCAATCGTATTCCTTTGCCAATTATTTATTTTGATTCTCCCTTCTTTCGTCTTTTTAAAATTCATCCTAATTATAGTGATTTACATACTTTTGGATGTGTGTGTTTTGTTCACTTACCTCCGTTTGAACGAAATAAGCTTGGAACACAATTTATTCAATGTGCATTTATAGGGTATAGTAACTCTCATAAGGGTTTTATGTGTTATGATGTTTCTAATCACCATTTTTGAGTTTCTCAGAATTTTTCATTTTTTGATAATCAATATATGTTTCATTTTCTTTCTTCTGTCATAAATGATATTTCTATTCATTCTATTTTTGTTATTATGCCTCGATCTATAAAACGTTACAATCCAGAAATCACATATGCCAGATAACACAGAAAACATGTTCCCACCTCCCCTCCTGAAATAGATCTACCACTTGATCCTGAATCGATTGAACCAAGATGTTCTTGTCGAATATCTAAAGCACCAAATAGACATTCACCAGACAAGTATGATTTCTCACATACTTCTCTGACTGCCTCACTATCTAGCATATTTATTCCTACTTGTTATGCACAGCTTGTCAAAGACATGCGATGGATAAAAGCAATGAATGAGGAACTTCAGGCTCTTCAAGAGAATTTTACATGGGATATTGTCTCTTGTCCCCCTGATGCAAACTCATGGGCTGCAAATGGGTGTATACTATGAAACTGAATTTTGATGGGTCTCTCAACTTTTTCAAGGCTCGATTGGTTGCCTTAGGAAATAGGCATGAATATTGAATTATTTATGATGAGACATTTGCACCAATTTCCAAAATGACGTATGTCTGTGCGGTACTCTTTATAGACACTTATAACGGGTGGTCTCTTTATCAAATGGATGTGAAAAATGAATTTCTTCATGGTGACCTGACATAAGATATTTATATGAATCCTCCTCAAGGTTTATTCTCGTCATCTAAAGGTGTGTGCAAGCTCAAATGCTCCTTATACGGTTGGAAACAAGCGCCTAGAGCATGGTATGAAAAATTCTGCTCCACTCTACTTGAGTTCTCCTTTACTCATAGTCAGTATGATTCTTCTCTATTTATTCATAGAACGTCTACTAGAATTGTCCTACTTCTTCTTTATGTTGATGATATGATTATTATTGGTTATGATAATGCTTCGATTCAAAGCCTTAAACAGCAGTTACAAGCATCGTTTCATATGAAAGATCTTTGTAATTTTCATTATTTTCTTGGTCTTAAGGTTCATTCTACATCCAAGGGCATATTCTTCCATCAAAACAAGTATGCCACAAATTTAATTTCTATGGCTGGCCTTCGATCGACTAATCTAGTGGATACTCCTCTTGAGGTTAATATTAAATATCATCTTGATGATGATGATCTCTTGCCTGATCCCTTATTGTATCGTCAACTTGTGGGTAATCTTAACTACTTGACTATTACTCGCCCTGATATATCTTTTGCTGTTCAATAAGTAAGTCAATTTATGCACTCTCCTCGCCACCTTCACTTGGAAGCAGTTCGTCGTATAATTCGTTACTGAAGGGAAGCTTTCATCGTGGTTTATTCTTTCCTATTAGAGTTTCTCCTAAATTAAGTACTTATAGTGATACCGATTGGGAAGGGTGTCCCGATACTCGACGATTTGTCACTGGTTGGTGCATGTTTCTTGATTCTTCATTGATCTCAAGGAAAAGTAAGAAACAAGTGAGAGTCTCTAAATCTTCTACTGAATCTGAGTATCGTGTCATGTCTGTTGCTTGTTCTGAAATAATTTGGTTTCGTGGTCTTTTGGTTGAACTTGGATTTTCTCAAATAGAGACAACTTCACTTTATGCTGACAATACAAGTGGCATCCAAATCGTTGTGAATCCTGTTTTTCATGAACGCACCAAACATATCAAAATTGATTGTCACTCAATCCGTGACGCGTATGATGATTGACTAATATCACTTCCTCATATCAGTACTCAGTTGCAGGTTGCATATACTCTTATCAAAGTTGTTCTGCGTCCATGTCATCAATTTATTGTTAGCAAATTAATGCTCATTGACTAGCAGTATCAAGTTGAGGGAGTGTGAATAAGAATTAGTCTGTTCCTAGAATAAGGATTTGTTCCTAGAATAAGGAAAACAAATCATAAATTGATTTGTTCTCATTAAATGTAATTATTTAATGTAATTACTTGTATAGCCCTGTAATCTCTATATATACAAGAAATAACAATGAGAAAGGGAAGCCAAGAATTATTGACAGCCCTGTGATTTTAGTTTTGTCTGATCTTCCACATCAAAAATGAAGGGTGGTGTTGTGAAAGAGTTGTTGAGCCGCAGTCACAAGTTCTGGTATGTGATTTAGGTTAGAGAAAATTGTTGAAAGAATTATTTTTTATTTGTGGAAAATCCATGTCAAAGATGTGTTGATATAACCAAGATTACACAAGGTGTTGGTTAGTGGTTAGTACATAGCATTGATCAATAGTGATGTAGTTTCAAGTGACTATACAATTTATGGTGGAATATGATAGCGGTTTTGAACTATGATTATAGGTGAAAACAATGAAAACTGGTGTATTATTTTCAATTAAAGTGGATATTGTCAGGATTGTTTGAAAAATAAAAGTCTCACATCGTTTAATTTTTATATAGGAAGAAGTCCAAGCCAATATCTAATTTGGTACTTTTTTTTTTAATAGCTTCTCATGGTCTTATTGGTATTAGTATGATGAATTCTTGTGAGAATTGATTACATATGCAACACATAAGCCAGAAATAATAGTAATAAACTTACTGTATAATAAGCCAGAACACAAATATAATGATTTTTCCAGTAGTTGGGGAACTCAGCCTGAGGCACATATTATGCATCTAGTTTGAGATTATAAATCTCTATTCCTATAATATTTACAATCCTCATTATTGAGTTTTTGTACCTTAGTGCAATGCTGATTTTATCACTAACTATTCTCATTTTAGATTCTCATAAGATCCAGGCATGATTTCCCCTGTAGACGTCTAGAAAAATACGCTTTGTAGTAATCTTCTACACTAAATGTTTTGAACAATGCAGGCCTTTCAGGAGTAACAAGTGTTGGTGTTGGACCTATAACTTTGCTCATTTGAGGTTTGTGAAATGATGCAATTGAAATCCTCTCTTTCTGTGAGTTAACTGTTGCCCGATGCTCGATACTCCGGTAAATTCCGTTGGTCAGTATCTGCACAGCAATTTAAAATTTAGTCATAATAAGAGGATTTTTTTATTACTTTTCTATCAATTACCTCCAAAATGTCTCCGACGTTTATGACAAAAGCATTGATGAGTGGTTTAATAGGAATCCATTGTCCATCTTTTTTTATTTGCAGGCCTTCAACGTCACAGGCTTGGAGTAGGATGGTTAAGGCAGCAGCATCAGAATGAGGATTTAGTCCAATAACATTTTCTGGTTGTGGACATGGAGGGTAGTAATTCACTCTCATTGTTTGAGCTATATCATCAAATATCTCTACCATTTCATTTGGTTTAACTTTAAGAGCTTTTTCGATATGTTTGATGGTGGTGATGCAAACTCTTTTCAATTCTAAACAATAGGTTTCTAAATTATCTCTGCATATGAAACAATATTAGTTAGATTATACGATATCATTACGATCACTCAGCTATTTTTTCGCTATCTAAGATTGATAACATTGTGGCTAACCTTAATCGCCTGGGAATATTTGGAAATATGCGAGGATTCCTCGCATAGGATGGAAGTGTCGTAGTGAAAAATAAATCAGCCCATTCTAACTTCTGATTCTCAGACACAACAAACAATTGACCAAACCCTTCCATGTCATCTGGAGTTTGCCATAATTTCTTCTTCTCTTCAAATGGAAGACTTAAGAACTCCGGAACACCTATCTTCACATTTTCGACCAATGATTGATCAACTCCATGATTAATCAACTGCAATCAATTTCATCATTTAGACAAAAACCGTTGCTATTGAAACTGTATAGTGATAGATAAAATAAAAGAGGAGTAATAGTTGAAACCTGGAAGAAGCCCCATTCTTTACATGCAAGGTCGAGCTTCTCTAGCTCGATTGAATCTTCAGATGACAATTTACTAAGGTCGATAACGGGGACTTGTGGTAAAGAAGTTGTATTCGATACAAGAATAGAGTCTTGATTTGGATAAAGATATTGTTCTGGAACTTGTAAGTTGGGCTTCTTTGCAAGCTCTTTGACAGAAGGCACCAATAATGAAACTTTAAACTTTGACATTTTTCTTCAACTTATGAGAGTCCTCTTTCTTGATGATTTGGAATAACAGTACGTTAGATGGAGTGAAGCGCTTGAATGAATCAAATATGATTTGAAAATGAGGATAGTATTCTTGGTGATTGGTGAATAAAGAAAGACAGCACATTTCTTGGACGTGAGCGTAAAAAACAGAAAGTCCACCTACTAGCATATATATTAGATATATATTTTTTTAACTCCATCTTTGTTTTTATATGTTGATTGCCCTTTGTACTTAGTGAAATAATTTTATATACTATCAAACAATTATAAAAAACGTTTGATCATAGGGTGTTTGATTTTAATTTTAACAATTTTCGAAATTATATAGATATTATTTGTTTTAATTTTATTGTAATTGTGTTTTCGTGTGTCAAATATGATCACACATGCTGTATATTTATTTATATACAAATGTAGTTGTACATATAACAATATTGTGAATCTTGTTGAGAATTACGATAAAATTTAATATTAATTCGTGAGGTAAAGAATAGTAGCAACTAAAATAAATTGTCTACATCAATAATAATTCATACACAGATAATATAACAGAATAATGCGAGAAAAAAATGAAGGTTTGTTTACCCAGTTTGATCAAACGATCTACTCTGGGAGAGAAATCATCTCTCCAATTCACTATATTCATAAAATTGTTACAAGAGATTACATATGAGCTACAATAAAATAGCTTTCACCCTTCAGTTTTCCAACAACAAACTTGAAGGCGCCTAAGAACAACCTTATTTTCTACCCAAGTGTTTCTCAACCTCTTCAACTATATGAATAACTTAAACTCACGGTGTAAACAAGTGTTTCTCAATTCCTTATTTCTCTTAGATAACTCCAAAGGTTTCCCAAAACCCTTTCCTTTCTAAGGTTTCCCTTGAGAATAGCCAAAATCATATGCTATGCCTTTAAACCATTGCTCTCCTTTGTTGCTGTAAGCTCTAACACTGTCACACCTGCAAGCATATGAGAGATACATATTTATAATAACCAATACCCAACAACTAGAGTTCAAAATCACAATTCAATCACATATGGATCCATGAATCGAACCGAAAGAGCCTGAATCACACAAAACGAAAAACTACAGAAAAACCCAAAATCATTATTCACCCAACCATATTTCTCGATTTTTTTTTTTGACTTTTTGTCTGATTTTTAAAAGCTTATGATTTTTGCGGTATATACTATCTCCAAAATATATTTTCTTTCTCTTCATCAACCAAGGTTTCAAGGCACATTACAATAATCTCCACCTTGACTTTAAACAGTGTTGATACCAATTTGACCATCAACAACATTGCTTCTCTCTATTATGTTGAAACTCTAATCAATAACCTTGATCAAATTTAAACAACCATTGAATCTTGATCTTGCAACTTACATCCACTTGTTTCCAATTACCCTTTTCTACCTAGGTGATTTAATAAGTCCACAAGTATGATTTTCCAACCACCCTTGACTCCACCTGTTTTCAAATGCCTCCCTAAAGGTTCTTCATTTTGTATTTTACAATCCTTCAGCCATATTCAAAACATAATATCCAAGACTAGCATAACTATCCCTTTGAGATGCTATAATAACCCTATTTACTTTATCGTGAGTCAAATGATAATCATAGATCTTTGTAACCGTTCCCTCACTACCACTGACATCCATATTAGGAAACTCCACCTCAAACTAAGTTTTCTCCATTATAGTTTCTACCAGGTTTCTCCCTTGTTTTTCACTATTCTCCCTCTGAAGAAATTCTCTACCAACCAAATAAGTTGTTTTAACCTTAACTCTTCCCCAAAAACTCAATAACAACTCAATAGTAACATGCATTTTTATCCCTTGATTTCTACAAAAGTCATTATACACCTCTAAAAATTTATCAAGGCATTCATAACGCCTTAAACTCAAATCCCGAAATTCTTCCTTATCATGAAAGCTTCCACTAGTTAACGATGAATGAATAGCAACATTTAAACCTTCTAAAATATATAGACCACATATTTTAGACTCTTTAGCTATAATTAACTCATCACGTGAAATCTTCAGCACTCCATGTTCAACTCTAGTACAATAGCCTAGATCATCAAACATACTTATTGTTGTACCCCAAAATTTACCCTCTTTTTTCTCAAGATGTTTCTCACAAAGATCTTCAAAAGTTCAAAGCTGGCACAAGTAATGACTAGGTCAAGCCATCTCCTCAACACTGATGTCTCATATTAGGGTTTGAGTTTGCACAAAGACAGTTGAACTCCTAACATTTCAAATGACTTTCATGGATCATTATGGACCCTCAGGATTATTTCTGTCAAATCTCAATATTGGGTCACAATTCTCCAAGAAAACCGTTCAAATCATCAAAAGGGAAAAATGGTCAAAATTAGGGTTTTGACCGAGAATGACCGATCTTCGATTTCTGACCTAATACCTGACTTATTGTTTGGAAGCATGATCTCAAGGATCCAAGCGCTTCATTTTGACCTAATCGCATATTTCAATTCATCTCCTGAGATCAGTGGATTGATAGGTGAAATTTTGTCAACTGATGGAAAAAAGTCAATTGTACACTGAAAAGTCAAACTTTGACTTTTTGACCAAAAATTGAATTTCAAGGATCACGTTTCATCAAGGCATTCAAAAAATGAAATTTGATCATCAAAAATCAAGGAAGTTAAAGGTCATTTTGGAAAGACAAAATTTACAAGACTTAGAAATTTTCCTAAGTGTTTGTATACTTGTTAAATTCATTGCTTCATGACATCTTTTCATTACAATACAAAATAATTCAAGATGTTACAAATAATTCAAGATGTGACAAATAATTCAAATTATTACAAGGTTGCATTTTTTGCAAATTAAAAGTCCTAAAGCTTTGTCTTGTTTGATTTTTTCCTTTGACTCAAAACCTTGCCACTATGCTTTATCTTTGTTACAATCTGCATAAATTGGTCCACAAACCAGATTTTGTACCATTCTACAATATGTTGTTGTAATACAGTGGGATAACTGACTTGGTTGTTTTGCGTTTGATCGCAATTTTTGCGGATAGCAAGATTCGCCACCGACTTTTCTTTTATCCAATAAGGAAAGGCTGAAAAGAACAGGAAAGACCTTTCGAGATTATTTCTTGAGTTCAGGGGGTAGGTTATGAAAAGGGAAGGTATTAGAACCCTTTTCATCCGTAGTTATCTACGGGCTCTTAGTTGCTTGCTAGATCACTTGCTTTTGTTTGAAAATATTCATAGTGGTGTGGGTTTGAAAATATTTTGAAAACGTCTTTGTAATGATTCTCGTCTCTATAAGAATGCGTATAAAGTGTTGGTTTTGAAAATAGTTCAAAGAGGTGTTTGTGGAAGATGTTTTTTGAAAGTGATTTTGAAAAGTGCCTTTGTAATGATTCTCGTCTCTATAAGAATGCGTACGAAGAGCTTTGACTTTTGAAAATGTTTCAATTGAAAGTGTTGGTGTGAAAAAATGTTTTTGTTGTGAGCAAGCGAGCAACTATGAGAAACCTACCTACTCAAAAGGTCTATGTTCTTTTCGTCCTCCTTTAGATGTTGCTATCTCACAATTAATTTGGTAAGAATCCTCATCATTGGATGTGAAGGGACGGGCGCAGGTCATTTGTATAGTCATAGAAGGCAACCTATGAGACGTTTTCGCAATTCCATTAGGGACTAGATCGTTTACCGAAGGCAACATCGAGGGACATCGAGGGAATACGATCTTTCATCGAGGGTCTTTTCTAAAACGCCCATATTTGAGGGACATGACTAGTTTCCGAGGCAACAAATGAGATTACCCTAGAGGTGCATGTGCGCAAAATGTGTTTCATTGCATGCATTTTGTTTTTGATTAGGATTGTCTACTTGTTGGTTTTATAATGCCATACATCCTAATTACTAACATTTATGTAAAGCAATAAAAATGTAGAAAATAAATACCCTACACTATTATAACCATATTGAATAGCAAGAAAATGTAAAGACAAAACAAAATAAAAGAAGGGAAAATAAGCTTTTCGATCCAGGATGAATGCACCCTTCGATTCTTCTTTTCTGGGCTTCTTTTGATTTGGGCCTAGCAGTCAGCATGAGAGGCAACCTTTGATTCATCCTTCTGGCTGCTTCTTTTGATTGGGCCTGGAAGTCACTGTGAGAGGAAACTTTTGATTCAACCTTCTGGCTACTTCTTTCGATTGGGCCTGGCAGTCAGTGTGAGAGGCAGCTTTCAATTCAACCTTCTGGCTGCTTCTTTCGATTGGGCCTGGCAGTCAGTGTGAACACCCTTCGTTTCTCCCTTCTTGCTCCTTTGTTTGGACAGTGAAGTAGTAAGGGCCTGCAAAGCAACATGAGTGTGTATCATCAGTTCACGCCCTCTTAGTCTTTCGTTTAGGACTGTGAAACAATAAGGGGGCGAAGCCTGAGGCTTCGTTTCACACAAAACTTCTTCTTTCGTTTGTGGCCTATACAGGTTAGTTCTACCATATATTTGGACAAGAAAAACAAACAAAAAAGGGCAGAAACGAAAAATGAACAAATGTCATGTATATGCTTGAAACGAAAGGAAATGACTATTCACATGTTATGCTAGAAACGAAAGGTTCAAGGTTAATAGAACTTACCTTGCTTGAAGCTGGAATATGTATGTTGGACCTTGAGTGGCTGCCCTGAGTGTCCCTGGATTCGAAGGAAAGAAACAAGGGTAATGTTTCTAGTGTTGGGTTCGAAATAAGGAACCAAGTGTTGGGTTGGTGTTTCACTGGGTTCTGGATTCGAAGGGAAGAAACAAGTGTGTTATTTCATTTGATTCTAGGTTTGAATGTGTTGTTAAGTATTTGAGAGTGTTTGATAGTTTGAGAGTTTGATAGTTTGATGATTTTTCTCCATGCCCCAAAGTCTTCTGGATGTGTTGTCCAACCCCCTTAGACGTGTTATGGAGCATCTTATTTATAGATGAAGTTGGTTGAGGTTTAG